CACACTGGTGGCTGTGATGTGAGGCCTTGGAGTTGTGTTTGCAGATTTGTGCGAATAGGTCCATGGCGCACCGCCCTGCAACCCCGAGGAATCTTTGCAGAACTTTCGCCCTTCATGTGACGGACATGAGCAGGACAACATGCTTAACGATAATTCATCAAAACACGAGAACAAGAAAGGTGGCCGGCTTTAAACCTACCAATTTAGTTCACCTAATGAGGCATCTGATTTTTCGATTATCTTATGCTTTGCCTTAAGGTTTGCTGACAAATTAGATTAAATGGCTGAAGTTACACGTGAAGCGGCTGCAGCAATCAGATGCGGTAACATTGCATGATCAAAGATATAAGGTCTTAGATATGAAGATCAAGATGCTGTGGCCTTTGTTTCGTCTCAGTTTCCTTTAGCTTTATAGTGTTGGTTCGACCTAGTTATAGCAACTTGGTCGGAACGTCAAGGAGGCATTGTGGAACGTACCTTGTCCCTTGCCCTCTGCCACTGATAACTTATAACTTTGTGCTTACGATAGCGCCTCTCACTGACGATGGCGGCGAAATGGTTAAGGAATGTACCCAGCCAATGGTACAATGTTGGAAATAACGAATACTATGGCAGAGGACACGGGACTAGGTATGTTCCACAAGGTATCCCTGAGGCTCCGACTAAGTTGCGAAAACAAGATCGAACCAACATTATAAAGATATAAGTGTTTTGGAGAAGGATGCAATTATTCGGTCACAATTGCATCCGTTTCACGCTTCATCTGCAGCCAATTAACTTTACTTTTCAGCAAATATTTAGGAAAAGCATAGGATATCCAACCAAATCATGAGGGGCCTCATCGGATCAAGTGGGGCTATGAGAAAAAGATAGGTTTAAGGCCCGCCACCTTTCTTGTTCTCGTATTTTGGTAAATTATCGTTAAGCCAGGTGTCCTGCTCTGAATATGTCCGTTACATGAAGGGCGAAAGTTCTTCAAAGATTCCTCTGGGTCGCAGGGCGGTGCACCGAGGACTTATTCGCACAAATCTACAATCACAGCTCCAAGTCAATTCCCCTACATCTTCCGATGAGGTCTAATAGGGGATTCTATGAAACCCAGTTTTTCTACATTGTGCTCTTATGTTTATGAATTCTGTTATTTGCTAAAAATACAGTAAAATTTGCCATATACTTGTTCTAATATGTAATTCACTGTTTAGAATAAAATCTATTCGTGACTCATTTCATTTGGAAATGGTAGCTGCAGCAAGGCGGGCTGAAATAGCTACTGATGAAGCTCGCCAACTTAGTTCTGATGCTACTAGGGAACGACATCTTATCGAGAATGAACTTCATGAAAAAACAGATAAAATAGAGCAATTGGAGCTTAAATGTGAGCAACTTAAAAAAGAAGTTAAGGTAAGCTATTATTTTTTTTGTTAAAATTTTATAGATTGCATTGCTTTGTATACTATAGTTATATAATGCCTGATGGTCTCAACTAAAACAGATCTCTTTTAGTTACAAATTACCTTAAAATGTTTCCATTATGATTTTTTAAAAATTCTTTACTATCGCTTATCCAGCATTAATCATTTCACCTGATTTAACACTCGTACTAGAATTTCA